GAGGTCGCCGGCCAGTATGAGATTCGGAGAGNATTTGTTAAATAATGAAAATAAATAATAAATAATACTCCCTCCTATTCATGATAAGTGTCGTTTTGGAAAATTGCACACTAATTAAGAATAATTTTTTTGCCAATAATAACCCTCATTAATGAAGATAGAGATGGATGTTTTAAAAAAAAAAGATGAAGATAATATGAAAAGACGTAGTGTATTTATTAGCTAAATGAGGGTAATAATAAAAAAATATGTACAAAAGATCCAAAACGACATTTATTTTGGTTAATAGTTGATAAAGTCAAAATGACATTTAAAAAGAATAGGAGGTAGTATGTTTTATATTCCATTTAAAAATCAATAACAAGAAGTTATGTAAGGGTAATTATAAATTCAAATTTAAAAAAATAGAAAACTAAAATAGCATGGTATATTGATCTTTTTTTAAGCCAAAAACATCATAAAAGAAATTTGATAACAGGTGTCATGACAACATAACAACAATATAACCTATGACAAGCAAATGAAAGCAACTTTCAATTAACAATAAATATTACAAAATTAAGTTTTACAATAAACAATATTTAGTTCAACATTCCCATTAATCCAAGCGAACTCCAACAAGAACACGAGCCCCACCGCGATTGAATGCCACCGTTGGTGCCCAATAGATCGAGTAGCCGCTCGTCTCAGAATGCCACCGCTGGTGCCTAATAGATTGAGTAGCCGCTCGTCTCCCGCTTGACTCTGAGGTTGCCGAATCACTGCACCAACAAGTTGTATCATGTCCGTTGATCGTCATGAACACTGACACTGCCGGACTTGGTGTTAAGGGAAGGTGAGAGATGAAACTGGCACTGACATGGGCTTCAGCCAAAGGCGGCGGGAAGGGGAATTGGTACTCTGACCGGGTGTATGTAATGGTACACTGACAATATATTAATAATTAAAACTTTTTTTTATGTTAATTTAATTTAAATTATTAATATTATTTAGTTATTCAAAAATGTACTAACAATCCTTATAGTTTACATTTCTAGATAAATTTTTGAAAATATTTATAATGATTTCCCGTCTCTTAATTGTAAATTGATTTATAACCCAATATATAGTTGGATTGTTACATATTTGAATGTTGGTTTTTTATTTTTTATTTTTTCTGTGTAATCACATATTTTTAAATTAAGTTATTTTCTTCTTAAAACAATGTTTATTTGATAATTTTTTATCAACAAAAAATTCTATGCAATGTGTTGCAAAAGTTCAATTTAAATCAATTTTCAACAAAAAAAAAACTTATTTTTCCACAAACGTTGAACTTAAATTATACATACATAAAATCTCATATTTTTTTTGTTTATAATTTTTTTATAAGTTTGAGAGTGATACGGATTCTAAGTTTTTAAAAATTTGATGGTACACATATCGATATTTATATTTATATAAATACATTTTTTTACATGAAATAAGTATTTGGACTTAAACTACAAGCTCGTTATACATTTAAAATCGAACCCCCTGAGTGAAATTCCTAGATCCGTCACTGCCAGCAAAGGTCGCATGCCCATACGGGTCCACCGGCGAGGTGGAGGCGTTACAATAGTTTTTGAAAATTTTCACTGAGCTTGGATTCATCTTCTTCACGTGGACAATGTAAGTTTTGTCAAGGGCTAATGCGGCAGGGAGAAGGAGGAGAGAGAAGAGGGTTATGGGTATGAGTGTACTGTGGAAGAAATTAAGGGGAGGAGCCATGGTACTGGATTTCGAGTGAAACTAAACTAGTTGTGT